CTTCCCTCCCCTCTCCCTCCTTATTCCTCTTCCCTCCCCTCCCCCTCCTTATTCCTCTTCCCCCACCACCTAAATCCCACACTGATCCACACCTGATGAGTTTTGCGCCACCTGTCACGAACCACAACAAAACGACCGCACGCGATACCAAATAAATCGATAACTGAGGTAGTAGAAATAGTAGAGTAGTCGTTGTTGTTTGTTGTTGTTGTGTTGTTGTTGTTGTAGTAGCAGCAGCAAAGCAGCAGCAGTAGTAAGTAGTAGTAGTAGTAGAGCAGTAGTAGTAGTAATAGTAGTATAGTATAGTAGTAGTAGTAGTAGTAGTTAGTAGTAGTGAAGTAGTTCAGTAGAAGTAGTAGTACAGTAGTAGCATAGTAGTAGCTTAGTAGTTAGTAGTAGTAGTAGCAGTAGTAGTAGTAGTATAGCAGTAGTAGTAGCAGTAGCCAAGTAGCAGTAGTAGCAGCAGTCGTTAGTCGTAGTCATTGTAGAGCAGAGTATAACAAGAAAATAATAAGAGTAACAATAATAATAATATAAATAAAAATAATAATAAATAATAATAATAATAATTAATAATAATAATTAACAATAATATAATATAAAAACAAACAAAACAATCAACAAACAAGGCGAACCCAGTAAATATAATAGACTGGTCTGAACCATTTTATATCCTTTTTTAACACTTGCTCGATCACGCCTATGTGTGTTCAAGTGAACATCCCGGTCTCAAAAAAGGAAAGAAAAGTAGAACAACGCATGAGAGAAAAAAAAAACAAAAAAAATTCTCACATAAGCAAAGAGTATAAAAAAAACACCAGCTATACATAAAACGGGAAAAACACTAAAACAAAGGAACAAAACATGAAACCACCACTCTGACAAAGAACTAATAAAAAATGAAAAAAAAAAACATTCAAAGAAAGCAAAAAAAAAACTCATCCAAACAAACAAATAAAATGAACCCATCACCGAAAAAGAAGCCAAAACAAAACAAAAAACAAACAAAAAAAAAACAAAACCAAAACAAAACAAAACAAAAAACAAACAAAGAATCCAAAATAAAAACAAAACAGAATCCAAAATCCAAAACAAAAACAAAACAGAAAAAACACCACTCAAACAAGAAGCCAAAACAAAAAAAACAAAACAAAAACACCACTTGAAGACGCCAAAACAAAAACAAAAACAACAAAAAAGCCACCGTGGGAGGTAGGGCAGTTGAGTCACAAAATAATGGGTTTCTTATCTACGACACGGTGTTCGAACAGGGGGGGGGGGGCCAGGGCTTGTCTGTTTCATGACCCGTTTGCATGACACATTTCCTTCACTAACCCTAACCTTAATCTGGCTCCATGTAGGCTACGAATACTAGTCATGATACTAGTCATGACAATAGTAACTTATAATGATAATGACTATAGTAACTTATAATGATAATGACAATAGTAACTTATAATGATAATAATAATAGTAACTTAATAACTGTAGTAATAGTTATAATAATAGTAATATTGACGGTAACAGTAACCGTATAAATACTTCCATCATAACAAAATAACAACAACAACAAACAACAGAAACACAAAACGAAAACATCATCCATAATAAAACCAATAATACTGACACCTTTCCATCCCACCCTTACAACCATTACCCCAAGCATCATTACCAATCGAAAAAAAAAAAAACATGTAGCGCAGTTGAATGCCTCTCAGCTAATCTAAATTCCTCGTTGCCATCACTTGCAGCATCAACATGCAACGGCAAAGGCTTAACGCATTTAAATCTGTCGTCGGCATGAGCACCAGGACTATGTCTGTTAATCATGCACTGCCTCTGCCTGCCTGCTTGAATGCTTGCCACGGGCGCTCTTTATGTGAGCTTGTCTGCTGTTTCTCTTACTTTCTCCCTCCTTGTCCCTTCCTTTCTTCTTCTTTTTTTGTCTATCCCTCCTTTTCTTCCTCTCGTATGGATGTGTATATACGGATAAACAAATGTGAATTATATATTGCTACTTTATCACACAGACACAGACACAGACACAGACACACACACACACACACACACACACACACACACACACACACACACACACACACACACGCACTCACACACACACACAGGTACAGGCACAGACACGCACGCACGCACGCGCACACATACACGAGAGACACTTGGCTGCCATCATCTCGCCGAGGTCTCCCGCCACACCCCTTTGAAAAAGAAGAGAAACACGGGTACAAATATGGCGGTTGAGGGGGAAGGGGAGGTGGGGAGGGTGGAGGGGAAGGGTTGGTGGGGAGGCGAGGCGGGAAGGGAGGGGGATGCGATGGGGGGCGAGGGGAGGGTAAGCAGGGTGAGGGAGTTGGGGTGGGTGAGGGAGGAAGGGTGGTACGGTGGGGGAGGAGGGGTAGCGGAGTGAGGCGTGAGGTGGTGTAGGAGTTGGGAGAGGGAGAGGAGGGAGGGGAGGGGGGGGGAATAAACTTTAAGTCAAAGGTCAAGATGAGCTTTAAATACTTGAGAAACGTTACAGGTGCGGTGCACATGTTGAGAGAGGGAGGGAAGGAGGAAGAGGAAGATGAGGAGAGGGGGGTGGAGGGGACTTGGAGGAGGGGAGAGGAGGAGGAGGAAGGAGGAGGAAGGAGGAGAGGGAAGGAGGAGGAGGAGGAGGAGGAGGAAAGAGGTGCTGGAGGAGAGGAAGAGGAGGAAGAAGAAAAAGAAGAAAAGGAGAGAGAGGAAGAGGAAGAACAAAAGAGAGAGGAAGATAAAGATGATGATGACGAGGAGTTAGAAGAACAGCAGGAGGAGACAGAAGGAACCACAATACCGATAGAACGAAAAAAAAAACTTCGACAATCATGACCCACACCTCTTCCCGCTATCCGGACTGTGTGCGTGTGTGTAAGCGTGCGTGTGTGCGTCCACGTGTAGTGTGTATTCATAAGCGAGATATGAAGTGGAATTCCAAATATTAACTCGAAAGGGGAGTCTCTACTTGAACCGACAAATTACGCATGAAATACAAGAGGAAAAGAGTGCTAAACACACCGACAAATTATGTAAATTGTAAACACGTTCGACTTCCACTCCGCGGTTACAAAATTAAACACATCACGTGGATTTGTAGCGCAATCGGCCAAAGTCTGTAAGACCTAATTAAGCTTGAGAAATTCTTCAAAGCGATGTCTATACCGTCTACTACAATGACGAAGCCTTATACGAAACTGCTACGTCATTCCAGATTCTTTTCTATTCCATTTTTATTTCTATTTCTATTCCCACTGTCATTGAGCTAACGCATTTCCACATCGCAATCACACTTTCTAAACATTATCAATGTATGCTGGAACTTCCTTGAAAGTAGGCCTACATGTCTGCCTGTCTGGATACAAATACAAAAGCTTTGCTAACTGAAGAATAAAATACTATGTAGAGTGACACTTAATTAAATAAAAGAATTGAATTGGGTTAAATTATCTGTGTGTCTGTCTATCTGTCTCTATCTCTCTCTCTCTCTCTCTCTCTCTCTCTCTCTCTCTCTCTCTCTCTCTCTCTCTCTCTCTCTCTCCTCTCTCTCTCTCTCTCTCTCTCTCCTCTCTCTCTTCCTTCTTCTCTTCTCCTTTCATTCAAGTGAGAGTGAAGGGTGAGAGCGACAAGTGAAAAAAGTGAAGCGACAAGTGAGACGACAGTGAGAGTGAGGGTGAGAGCGAAAGTGAGAGTGAAGTGAGAGCGACAAGTGAGAGTGAAGGGTGAGAACGACAAGTGAGAAATGAAGGGTGAGAGCGACAAGTGAGAGTGAAGGGTGAGAGCGACAAGTGAGAATGAAGGGTGAGAGCGACAAGTGAGAGTGAAGGGTGAGAGCGACAAGTGAGAGTGAAGGGTGAGGCGACAAGTGGAGAGTGAAGGGTGAGAGTGAGAATGAAGGGTGAGAGCGACAAGTGAGAGCGATAAGTGAATGAAGGGTGACGATAATGAGAGTGAAAGAGCGAAAGGTGAGAGCAAGTGAGACGACAAGTGAGAATGAAGGGCGAGAGCAAAATGAGGTGAAGGGTGAGAGCGAACGAAAGTGAGTGAGGAAGGTGAGAGCGACAAGTGAGAATGAAGGGTGAGAGTGAGTGAGAACGACAAGGAGAGAAGGGTTGAGACGACAAGTGAGAATGAAGGGTGAGAGCGACAAGTGAGAGTGATGACGGACAAGGAGAATGAAGGGTGAGAGCGACAAGTGAGAGTGAAGGGTGAGAGCGACAGTGAATGAAGGGTGAGGACAGTGAGAATGAAGGTGAGAGCGACAAGTGAGAGTGAAGGGTGAGAGCGATAAGGAGAGTGAAGGGTGAGAGCGACAAGTAGAGTGAAGAGTGAGAGCGACAAGTGAGCTGACAGCGACAAGGGAGAGTGAAGGGTGAGAGGGTTAAATGGGAGGCTGACGAGGAGATAAACGGGGGAAGAGGGAGGGGGAGTAGGAGCGAGGAGGGGGGGTTCAGGATATGATACGGGGAGACGGGATATAGGGTTACGGACATTTGTATCTTTTGTTTGTTTGTGTGAATCTTCACAGGTAGGCCTGTATGTAATGTCAATATCTATATCTGTACGAATTATACACACAAACCTGTTCAGCGGCGCACACACACACACACACACACACACACACACACACACACACACACACACACACACACACACACACACACACACACACACACACACACCACACACACACACACACACACACACACACACACACACACACACACCACACACGCACACACACACACACAACACACACACAACCCCCCTTCCCTTCCTTTCTCTCTCTTCTCCACCTTCCACCCCCCCACTCACTCCTCCCCTCACCCCCTTACCCTCCCCTCCCTCCACACTTTCAAACACCAAACCCCTAAAAAAAATCCTTAAAAAAATCCTTAAAAAATACTTTAAAAAACAACAACACAAAACAAGTGATAAAAAAACTCCTTCACTTACCTTAAGGATTTTTATTTCTTTCCCCAAGAGATTCTGGCTCTTCGCGATGTTCTTTTTCGTGATGCTTTTTATGGCAACTGTTAGGCCGGGTTTCTGGAATGGAGAAAGACGGGAATTAATAAGGGGAAAGTGGGATTAAAAGGAGAGGAAGGAGAAAATGGAATAAAAGGGAAGTAAGAGAAAAAGAGATAAATCAACAATTGAATAAATTTTACTCGATGAACTCATGGGGAAGGTGGGATTAAAAGGAGAAAGGGAGAAAATTAGGAATAAAAGGGAAGTAAGTGAAAAAAGATATAAATCAATAAATTAATCAATTTTATTCGATGAACTCATGGGAAAAGTGGGATTAAACGGAGAGAAAGGGGAAATTAGAATAAAAGGGAAGTAAGAGAAAGTAAACGAATAAACTTTATTCGATTAACTCATGACAGACACGATGCTTAGCTAACAAATACATACATCATTAATGTTGGAAAATATAATTAAATGAATTAGGAAAAAAAGAGAAGTAAAATAAATACCAACAACAAAAATATATAGGAAAAATCTTTAAAAAATACAAGTAAAAAAATAAATCTAGTTACAAAATCTAAAAATACCTTTAGTAAAGAGAACCACCATTCGTTTTAAATACAATTTCACAGCTATCGACACCTTACGAAATTCATAGTTCTTGGCTCTTGGGTAATGTCTGCCTAATGGATTTTTTTTCTATACGCCGTTTCTTAGGCTTAATTTTTTTCTTCAAAGATGAAAGACGTATGGCTTAAGGAGGGGTGAAGGGGAGGGAGGGTAGGGGGGAAGGGGTGAGGGGAGGGGAGGGGGTAGGGGAGGAAGGGTGAGGGGAGGGAGGGGGTAGGGGAGGAAGGGGTGAGGGGAGGGAGGGGGTAAGGGGAGGAAGGGGTGAGGAGGGAGGGGTAGGGGGGAGGAAGGGGGAGGGGGGAGGGGGTAGGGGGGAGAAAGGGGGTAGAAAGGAAAGGGGGGGGGAGAAAGGGGGTAGAGGAGGGGGGGAGAAAGGGGGTAGAGGGAGGGGGGTGTGTGAAAAGGGTAGGGGTGAGGGAGGATACACAGGTGTGGAGAAGTGAAAGTGTGAGAGAGAGAATGAGAAAGTGGGAGACAGGAAAGCGGAGAGTGGAAAAGAGGGAAGGCAGTAGCTTAGAAAGAAAGGAAGGAAGGAAGGAAGGAGGGTGAGAGGGCGTGAGGAAGGGAAGGGAAGGATGCACAAACCAACGGAGGGAAGAAAAGTGAACAGCAAAGACGGAAGAAAGGAATTTTCAAAACCAAACGAACACAAGAATTACAGACAGACATACCTACGCCCACATAGCTACGCACGAGAAAGGGAAAGAGAGAAGAGACGAAAACACAAGAAAAGACAATAGATAAAAACGAAGAATAGGGGAAGAGGGAGATGAAGGGGGACGGGGGAAGGAGAGAGAGAGAAGTGAGAGAGAGAGAGAAGAGAGAGAGAGAGAGAGAGGGAAGGAGAGTGAGAGTGAGAGTGAGAGTGAGAGGGAGAGAGAGTGAGAGTGAGAGAGAGAGAGAGAGTGAGAGTGAGAGGAGAGAGTGAGTGAGTGAGTGAGTGAGAGAGAGAAGAGAGAGAGAGAGAGAGAGAGAGAGAGAGAGAGAGAAGAGAGAGAGAGAGAGAGAGAGAGAGAGAGAGAGAGAGAGAGAGAGAGAGAGAGAGAGAGAGAGAGAGAGAGAGAGAGAGAGAGCGAGAGAGAGAGAGAGAGTAGAGAGAGAGAGAGAGGAGACGAGAGAGAGAGAGAGAGAAAGAGAGAGAGAGAGAGAGAGAGAGAGAAGAGAGAAAGAGAGAGAGAGAGAGAGAGAGAGAGAGAGAGAAGAGAGAGAGAGAGAGAGAGAGAGAAGAGAGGAGAGAGAGACAGAGAGAGAGGAGAGAACAGAGAGAAGACGAGAGAGAGAGCGGAGAGAGAGAGAGGGCGAGGAGAGAGAGAGAGAAGAGAGAGGAGAGAGAGGAGAGAGGGAGAGAGCGACGAGGAGAGAGGAAAGAAGAAATTAGAGAGCACATGAGCAATGGACTATATTAACAGGACATGGATGAAGAAAGAGACAGGAGGAGAAGTCTGAGCACGAGAGAGAGAGAGAGAGAGAAGAGAGAGAGAGAGAGAGAGAGAGAGAAGAGAAGAGAGAGAGACGAGAGAGAGAGTAGACGAGAGAGAGAGAGAGAGAAGAAGAGAGAGAGAGAGAGAGTTGAGAGGAGAGAGGGACAGAGAAGGAGAGAGAAGAGAGAGAGAGAGAGAGAGAGAGAGGAGAGAGAGAGAGAGAGAGAGAGAGAGAAGAGAGAGGAGAGAGAGAGAAGAGAGAAGAAGAGAAAGAGAGAGAGAAAAGAGAGAGAGAAAGAGAGAGAAAGAGAGAGAGAGAGAGAGAGAGAGAGAGAGAGAGAGAGAGAGAGAGAGAGAGAGAGAGAGAGAGAGAGAGAGAGAAGAGAAGAGAGAGAGAGAGAGAGAGAGAGAGAGACAGAGAGAGATTGAGAGATGAGAGAGAGAGAGAGAGAAGAGAAGAAAGAGAGAGAAAAGAGAGAGAAAGAGAGAAAAGAGAGAAAGAGAAAGAGAGAGAGAGAGAGAGAGAGAGAGAAAGTGTAAAACATCAACCAGCATCCCGACTGTGGCAAGCTCATCCCCTTTCAGCAAAATTTCCAAAACATTTGCAACAAAACACATACTTCATTTCATCAGGAGCAGCATTTCCTACCCACACGCAATTCAATTCACCGGAGGCAACACTTCCCACACACATAAAATTCTTTTCATTAAAAACGGCAATTCCCACCCACATATATTTCAACAAAAGCAGCATTTCCCACCCACCCATAATTAATTTCACCAGAATCAGCATTTCCCACCAATACATAATTCATTTCACCAGAATCAGCATTTCCCACCCACATAATCATTTCACCAGAATCAGCATTCCCACCCACATAATCATTCACCAGAATAGCATTTCACCCACATATAATCACCAGAATCAGCATTTCCCACCAATACATAATTCATTTCACCAGAATCAGCATTTCCCACCCACATAAATTCATTTTCACCAGAATCAGCATTTTCCCATTAATTCATTTCACAGAATCAGCATTTTCCCACCCACTCGGACAGTAAGTCGAACGAATCGAAATGTTCCAAGCCAATCGAAGCGAATCGAACACTTTCCACGCGTGGGAGAGGTTTGCCTTGGCGGAGTTCGAAGATAAATATGAATAAATTGATAAAGATAGTAATGGATAAGAGGTGATTGCAATAAAAATATGTGCCAAAAACAAGAATAAGAAAAACATGAATAAAACTACACGTAATAAAAAAATAAATACATTTGAAGCAATATCAATGATAATACCATTGATAACAATAATAATTTATAATAATAATAATAATAATAATAATAATAATAATAATAATAATAATAATAACTGTCATAGTAGTAGTAAAAATAATAATAAAACACTGATAGTAACCGAAAAAGTAATAGTTATAGTAATAGATAAAATAGTATTAATAATAACAACAATACTACTACTAATACAAATATTAATAATAATAACAATATAATAACAAAACAATAACAGAAATGTTTAAAAAATATATAATCAAAAGAACAATAATCAACATACATCTTCAAGTCAAAGAAATACAAAACAAATAAATTAAATAAGATGACCAAAAAAGGACATAAGACCATTCGCAAAAACACAAATGCACAGAAGAGATAACGTCGAACAAAAATAATAATTATTTAACGAAGACAAAACAATGCACTTCTCAAAAATAAATAACGATGAAATAATAATATCAATAATAATAATAAAACAATAAAATAGTAATAATAAAAAAAAAAAATACTAACAGAAACATGCCATTATCAGATTAAAAATACAACCAAAATATATTCATTATATACCTGAAAAAAGACTCCATAAGCTCCTCTATTGTTGACCTCCCCTCTTCCTCCCTCCCCTCCCTCCCCTTCCCCTTCCTCCATCGCCTTCTTGACCCAATCCAACCCCCTCCTCACCCCTCCCCTCCCCCTCCAACCCCTCTCGCCAAATTCAGCAACGGGGTCATAAAAATATCCCCTCCCACTCCCCCCTCCCCTCCCACCACCCCCACCCTCCCCCTCCCACCACCCCCACCCTCCCCCTCCCACCAACCCCCACCCTCCTACTCTCTCCTCCACCCGCCCCCGCCCACCAACCCCTCCCCACCCCCTTCCCCCCTAATCCCACTCCACCGCAGGCCAACGCGGAAGGTAAACAAACCTTGCAGCTGAGACGAAACCTTGAAGGATAGAAGACCGTCTCCCGGGAGGTTACGGGCTGGAACGGACGGACGGGCGGACGGGCGGACAGACGTGTGTATGGGTGGTGGGTGGGTTAGGTATATGGGTGAGTGGGTGGGTGGTGGTAGGTGTATGGGTGGGTAGGTAGGTATATGGTGGGGGAGTAGATATATGGGTGGGTGGGTGGGTAGGTATATGGGTGGGTGAGCGTGAGTGGGTAGGTATATGGGGGGTGGGTAGGGTATATGAGTGGGTGAATGGGTGGGCGAGTGGGTTGGTGGTGGATGGGTAGATATATGGTGGGCGAGTGGGTGGGTAGGTAGATTAGTGGTTAGTGGTGGTGGGTGGGGTAGGGTAGGTGCTTAGTGGGTAGTAGATGCGTGATTATACGTATGTATATCAGTGTATACTAATTCGGGTACTTCACGTCCCACCCCAACGTGAAAACCCGTTCCGTCCGTAGCCACTTTCGCTTTCCAAGGCCCCGCCCCGGCAATCTAGTTGTTCCAGACAGACGCCAAAACCAAAAGAACAACAAGAAAAAAAAAAAGAAAAAAAAGAAAAAAAAAAAAAAAAAAACAATAGAACATACCCCCTGAGGCCTTCTCCTTCGACCCCCAAAAGGACCGTCTCTTACACATATCCCTGACCCCCCCCCTCCCCCTCACCGCCCACCTACCCCCGGATTGCTGGCAGGTTTCGGGTCAGCTGGCGGAAGGTGTAGGGGGGGGTGCAGTTAAACAGGTAGATGGTATATCGATATCCCTATATACAAAAAATATAAACAG